TTCATTTTTTCCTCCAGGATCTGGTGATCTTTGAAGAGGTGGCTGTGTGTTTCACAGAGGAGGAATGGGTGCTGCTAGATGCAAGTCAGAAAGCTCTGCATAAGGAAGTCATGGAGGACAACCGTGGGATTGTGGCCTCTCTTGGTAAAGTCCCCTCTGTGCCCATCCTAGACCCTGAGAGCTCTTTTTCCATGTTGTAATGTTGCCAGAGATACTTTTTATCATGATTATCAGATCACTGTTAACCAAGGTTGAGCAGCTCCAGAAGGTTTGGAGGCCAACTTTCATTGTCATTTTCTTTCATTATGAACCACACTTGTAAAGAAATATAGTTGGCCCTCCATATCCATTGATTCAACCATTCACGATTTGAGAATATTTTTTTTTAAATCCAAAGATCAAACTTTGATTTTGCCATTTTATATATAAGGAACAATGTTTTACTGTGCCATTGTATATAATAGGAATCATTCCTATTCACAGCTATTGGTATCCATGGGGATCCTGGAACCAAACCCCAATGGATACCAAGGATATCAAGCAGAGCCTCCATGATGAGAAAGTTAATTAAAAAATACTTTTTAGGCTATTTATTCAACTAATAAATAAATGTATTATACTTTCTCTATTAAATGTGTTAGCTTGTTGCCCTATTAAATTAAGTTTGGGGGAGGTCTATGTTATTGTTTTATTGATTTTTTTTATCATGCCTTTTCCCAAGGCTCTCCAGGAATGCTCTCAGAGCAGCTTACAAATTTCTTCTGGCTCTGGGCTAGGCATAGTGGAACTGTCCCTGCTTCTTATTCTCTCACTTTGAGGCCAGGGCAATGGCAGCTGGAGTGGGAGGAGGGCTTTTCTTCTGCCTCTTTCCCCCTAATACAAATAAATTTTTATTATTATTATTATTATTATTATTATTATTATTATTATTATTATTACTGAGACTAAAGAACAAAGATTAAAACAAATGCAGATTAAGATTCATAACAAAATATCAACAAAAGCATGTAAAATTACAAACTACCTATAGAATTGAAACCATCTACTATCCATTTAACAACAGAAGATAAATAGCATTCCATTAAAATCCCATTGCTATCAATTCCTAAAAGCCTGTCAAAATAAAGTTTTCATATGCCAATGGAATAGCAAGGAGAGAGACATCCTAGCCTCCCTAAGGAGGGAGTTCTATAGCCACCAAGCAGGCCCTCTCCCTTCTTTCCCCCAAACATGTCTGGGAATGGGATGGGACTGAAAGAAAGGCCTCCCCCACGATCTTAGAGCAGGAAGGCTACAGCTGTGGCAGTGAAAGAGCCCAGCTGCTTTATACAGGAAGATGTCCTTCAGATATCACCTTTGATACTAAAATCAACACCTGAGAAAATTTCCCTTTTTACTTAATTCCCCTTCATTTGGCTTCTCTACACCAGGGAAATTCACTTCATTTGTAATATATCTTAAGCAGCCAAGCACAATGAAGTAAGGAGCAGGGGCAGGCAGACAGATTTGTCCCTCTTCGTGTGAATCATCAGTTCACCTCCTTGTCTTCAAAGTTGTAAGATGTGGAATCCCTTCACAGAAGAAGAGTGCCTTTCCTTGATGGAGCTGCAGTTGGTAGCATCCAGCTAGTGTGTTGGAGAGTGGCCCTTTTCTACCTTGAGAGAGTGTGGGAAGGTGCTGCCCATAAGGCAATTTATTTAAACCCTGAAACATGTCAGTAAAACACCAATGTAATTTTTTTCTCCTCCACAGAAAGATTTCTGAATCCCCAAAGAGAACCTCTCTCTTGGCTGGATAAAAAGGAAGAATCATTTGTCAAGGAAGACAAGAAATCACCAGGTAGCTCCTTAACATTATGGTGGAGACCTTTCTTAGCAGTATTCAGATGTAGTTCTCCCAGGAGATGTTTCCTTTAACTGAACATCTTGTTATATATGTGAAGGGTAGACGCCCGGGAATACTTGGGTAGGGGAGTGAGTGTCATCTGTGAAATACGGTACAAAATGTAATCCTCAATTTTTTGTGTTCAGATTATACTGGAAATGTATTTGGATGTGCAGATTGAACATACTGACGTATCTGGCATTTATTTCCCAGTGTTTTCTACTCTTGACTGGCTGTCTCCATGGATATTCCCATCTCATCCCTTCTGTTTGGTGCTTTTCAAGCATAGGATGCTGCAGAAATTTCAGAAGTTCCATAACCTGATCAGCATTAATGGCCAGTCAGCACTGGCTGTCTTAATACAAACAACATCTGCTTCTTCGCTGCCTATTCTGTTACTCACACTTTAGTTACTTGTGTGTATTTTGAAGATCCATTCCACTCTAATTGGTCTCTTCTCTTTATTCCTGCAGAAGATGGAAGGGACAGAAATGAAGAGGAAACACAGCCGAAAACTGAACTGAAGCAAATGTTGATTAAAAACTTTCATAAAAGTGCAACGTTCCATGAAATACCAGGACGGAGAAAGGGTCACACAAGAAAGGAAACCTCAGTGAGGAAGAAACCATTCAAATGTTCAGAGTGTGGAAAGGGTTTCAGTCAGCGCAGTACTCTGGCTGACCATCACAGAATTCACACAGGCGAGAAGCCATATACGTGCTCAGAGTGCGGGAAGAGCTTTAGTCGGAGCCGTGCCCTTACTGATCATGAAAGAATCCATACTGGGGAAAAGCCATATAAATGTTTAGTGTGTGGAAAGAGATTTGCTCAGAGCAGTAACTTTGCTTACCATAAAAAGACCCACACAGGGGAAAAACCATTTGAATGCTCAGAATGTGGAGAAAGCTTCAGTCGCAGCCGTGCTCTTATTGATCATCAAAGAATCCACACAGGGGAGAAACCATATAAATGCACAGAGTGTGGAAAGAGTTTCACCCAAAGCAGTACTCTTACCTATCATCAAAGAACCCACACAGGAGAGAAACCGTACCAATGTTCAGAGTGTGGAAAGAGCTTTTCTCAGAGCAGCAACCTTACTGCACATAAAAAAACCCATGCATATAAACCTTTTAAATGCTTAGAGTGTGGAAAGAACTTCCGTTCTAGTGAAAACTTTGCCTTTCACCTTGGAATTCACACAGTGCGAGAAAGGAGGAGAAGTCCCCAACATGTTCAGAGTGGTGGGAATATTTGGAATGTGAAGGAGGTGTCATGGCTTCAGTCACAAAATGGCTGCAGTACTGGGTACAACCAGCCACAAAATACCCATTTCCTAGAATGGAAAACTGTTGAGTCTAAAAGACAAATTGCCCAAGAATTTGATAACAAAGGAGTTATCGGATCTGAACCAATGACCACAAAGCCACCGATTTGATTCAGTGTTTTAACTGACAATCCATTTGATGGGAAGGCAGGCCAATTATATCAATAGATCTACTTGAATGTTAAATTTGTTCCACCAAATGTGTTTGCCTGGAACACATATAAATGATGTAAAAGCCCCGGAGAGTGTGGCTAACAGATAAACAGAACTGGATGTGCAGTCAGACTGGTCTGATCCAAGAGATACATGGTTAAAATGCAAATGATTTTTAAGGAACCAGCAGAGCACAGGAAAAGTTAGGAAACAGACACAGCAATAAACCAATAAACGAGCTTGTGACCCTGTTTCCATCAGAAAGACACGATTACTAATCCAGAGCACCTTTGAGAGTGAGGGTTTTGCTAATATGGTTGTTACCCAGACAGATTCCTAAAGGCACCTAGAAGGATCCTCCAACTGAGAAACATAACTGAGAAGGGATCTTCCAAGAGAACAGAAGACATCTTTAGAGGCAACAGTACTTCTAATAGACTCTTGTGCTTTCAGAATTAACCAGAAGAGTGTCCGGCCTAGAACAAATTGTTAATGCTTCAAAAAGCAACAATAAACTTTTGGTCAGAATAAATTTTTTAAAATCTATATTCTGCCAGTACCTTTATTCCATCAACCAAAAGGCACAAAAATCAGTAAGCCTAGAGCTACCATCTGTTGCCTTTTTATCAGGTAGAATGTTTCAGAAAGCAAGAGGTAGAGAGGAGAGGAGAAGGAGGGGAAAGACTAGATATTTAAAAATCCTTTCTGCACTTTGTGCCTGGGATGGAATGGGGAGGCAGGATTTGCAGATTTATCATATGTTGTTACATTTCATCTAATGCAGCCCCCAGACTTGGTGGAAACAAGACAACAGCAAATGTAGTTGTTTTTTATTTTGGAAAGACAAAAGTCCTCTGTAAATTCAAAATTCTTAGTACTGTGGTGAATTTTAGTTTTAAAAACAAAAAGGAACATTCGAGGGGTGGCTGGAATCACAAGCATCCTGGAGATTAAAATGACAGAGACAGCCACCTCCAAATTACAGAAGAAGGCTCTGATTTAGATCTCCCCATACGAATAAATTTTATTATATCAGTTCAGATACTACAATAGTTACCACGGTTGGCTCTGTTGTAGATGGCATGCAGTAACATAACTTTGACCACCCCTGTCCTGGTTTTCACTTATGCAGTGTTGGATAGTGGCATATGCACTAATGGTATTCCTGCCCTTCAGTCTTAAAATGCTGGCATTAGAGGGTTCAGGAGCTGATTTTTTATGTAGTCTGCAGATGTAT